GATATATGTTGGCTGGTCTGTCTTCAAATTGAACAAGTGGATTGATTTTTTATTATATAGCTTAAGTGTATCAGAGCCGTTAGGCTATTAAACACTGCATATTTTTCCAGGCACCGTGTGAAACCCCCTCTGGCTGTGTCAGAGGGAAAGGTTGCTGTTGGCTGATTCAACTAGTATACATGTTTTATCTTTTTGTAATGGACAGGATTTGGCGATAAAGGATGTGGTAAAGGAAGTTTTTTAAATTCCACTCATTGCTTGCTGGGATACATCAAAAAATTTATGTTGAAGCCACGGGCCCCCTCTGCAGTGAGGGTCCCATCGTTTTGTGGGGCTTGTGTTAAGCTAGGTAAACTTTACATGTGGCTCTGCTGAGAAGGTAGTTTGGTTAGTTTATTTGGATCCTGATTTAAGCAGCATCTTTTTGCACCTTCCACTTCACTTCGCCGCAAAAATTGTTAAGATTCTAGTGTGTTGTTGTTTTCATGTTGGTACATACTTTGGTACCACACACACACTGGTTTACATTGAGCGGAAGGGTTGGTAGTGTAACACTGGTAAAACCGTGTTTTCGCATTTCATAGGTCTTGCAGTCTCAGGTCATCTACAAGAGGATAAGGGCTACTTTTGGTGTTTTTAACACAACATTCAAGCTGTGCCACTGCCGGACTGTCTTTTACCCATGAAACTTACATCTGTATATTTACAATCACGTGAAGAACCACACACTACACGCCAGCAATTTCTACGTTGAGGTGAAGCGGAGAAGTGAGAAAAACAATTTGAGGGGACTCGATTTTTGGAGCTCACACGCCAAAAATCACGAGTCCGATGTAAGGCACTCTTTGAGGGCGCGGCGAACGCGCTCGTGAGGGGCTTAGTTGAGCTTAATCGCCATAGAAGGTTTAGGGGATCATGAGATTGTCACTAAGCCTTGGGGCAAGAAGAGATTGAAGCACAGGTTGGTGCTTGATGATATTAGGCAGGATGAGTCTCTCAATGGTCCGTTTGGATATACAATGTTCAAAGCAATCATGGTGCTTGATTTCCTAGTTAATACAAGAAACAATCTCTCCAGCAGTACAATCAAAGAATAATAGAATTGAGAGGATCAAAGGTGGCGAAATTCAAAAAGTCATGTGTCAGAATCAGAATCAGAATCAGAATCACTCCAATAACTCTCATCCAGTCTTTCAACCTCTTCTGTGATTTGCCTTACTCGGTCCAGATAAGATTCTAGAGCTCCGTTCAAAGCCTTTCCAAAGCGAAGCACGTCCGTCGCGCTAGGAACGTTGAGACGTTCGAGGTGATCAAAAAAATCATCCACAGAGGTAGACTCGTCCACGACTGGGCGATCAACAATACCCGTCACCACACTTCCAATCACATCTTGGAATCCCTTCCCTGTGTTCGAAATTCCCCGTGACGTCTTAGGACGAGGATTCGAAGTAGTAGGTAAACTTGCAGTCCGTATGATCGTCGGACGTAAAGCCGCGCGTCTCTTTGGCCCCATCGCTTTGAGGAAGGGAAAAGGTGCAGACAGAGTTTGGTCTTGTCGGGTTTGTGTGCCAGATAAGATTCCATTCGAACCAGGTGTTGTAAGAGGCGTTGTTGATTGAGTTGTGAAGGAATCAGGGTATGCCAATTTCATCGCGGGACCAGTATCTTGAGTTGGATCCCTGTTGGCGTTGCTCGCCTCCGCTGCAGTCAAATCCTCGCTTGGCGTCCCTTGATCCCAAAACTATGATTAAGCAAGAACAGGCTCAAAGATCAGACTCGAAATCAAATATAACCCCTCTGATTCAAGGAAAACTCACCATGTTGCACGAGACAGGTCGCATGACCATCTTACGTCTACTCTTGCGATCCGAAAAGCCAGAAAGACGTGAAGCAGTAGATAATGGTAGATAAAGCTCGTCACTTGGGCCCTCGAGAGTTGATTCCTTATAATTTATTGATTTGCGATCTTGTGGAGTCATCTTTTCACGACCAGTGCCACATGAATCGACAACTACTCCAATAAAATATGGACCTGAACTTGCGGTCTTGTGTATAGTAGGGTGAAGTGATTGCAAACAGATTCAAAAGTTGATGCCAATCAGTGATCGTGTTGTTATCCAGCGATCAACATTGACAAGGGAGAGATAAAAGAACTCACGACTGGCGAAACACACAGAGGCCTTGGACAAGAGGTATTGACTGAAGTTTGAATTTTGTGACATTTTTCTTCTCGAGTGGATTGAGAACCCATTGCTCTAGAAGCAGAATAATTAGGATACATTTCTCGTAAATGAAACAAAGATGACAATTACAAAACAAAGAGTTGAAAAGGTTATGAAGAATTAAGTGTGCAAGATAAACAAAATCAGAGAGGAAAATTAATCAAAATGAATGAGCTTGGCAATTGTTTTGATACTCGAAAGAAATGTGAAGAATGGATAAGACAAAAGAAGGATTTGATCCAAAGGTCATCCCGTTTTGTAGGCTATCATAAAATTCATTGCTGTTCAATTGTTAGCTCACTACACCCAGTATGCCACGGCAATCATGCTGCAGTGTGTGTGCGCGGGGTCATCAGACATATTGAACGGCACGTCAGAGTATTTCCATAGAAGATTCAGGGCATCCGGCATCAGATGGGCTTGTTGTCCTGTGTTGTTTGTTCCTTGGCCCTCAAACTCTACATTCTTGTGGAACGGGACTTGAGAGCTTCAATGGACCTGAACGAGGTCTTGCCCTGCATAAGGTTAGAGCTGCTTGTCACCTTTCAGAAACAATATGTGAGAATCAAGGATACTCCAGAATTAGCGAAACCATAAAATCGACTTTTTGACTTGTCGTATCATCGTCATCTGTTGGTTTAGTCGACACATAAACTCAAAAGAAGATATCAAGAGAAGTAACGAAGTAGAAAAGCGCGCTGAAAACCGCGTACGATAAGAACAAAAGGGAGAGGTAAACGATGAAGAGTGCCAGGAATCACACCAGTCGGAACTGCAAATCCACAGTCCGAAAGACCAATGCGTATAACGGAGCATTGCCCGTCTGTGGCATGTAAGGTGTTGATCACCTTCACTCAATCTCTCAGTTGGCACGACTCGCTCGAGAGAGAACACAAGAACTTGAACCCTAGGTATGATTTCTGCTAGCTCCGTATCGTCGGTTGAAAAATATTGTTCTTCTTTTAGAATCCTACGGTAGAGGACTCATATAATGCATCCTTTGTAAAAGTTGAACGGTAAACCCAACCAAAGTGATTTACATCACTGTGAATTGATAGAACTGGATTTGCAAGAAAACGCCAAGGACCCTCGTGGGAATTGATATCTCTTCTTGTAATATGAATGCATTTCTTTCTCTTATAGCATGGCATACTCACAGAAAACATGAACCAAATCCATCCTGATCCATCTCTTTCATCATTTTCCGTGCAATCTATGCAGTGTTAGGTTCTCACAACTCATGCTGTTTTTTTTGGACCACAATTTTCATCTTCAGTTGGTCTAAAACATTCGAAAATGCGTACATGGTTAAGCTACATTCCTATCATAGCATATACTCTTAAGATCGACAATTAGACTCTTTGATGAAAGAGTGGAAGAAGAAATTGATGTCATATGCGTTGTCAACGATGGTATGGTGGACAAGAGTTTGTATGATTGACTGAATTTCAATTGACTTACTGAGCTCGCTGATCAACAACTTTTACATCAAAGTCTAGAAGACCAAAAGATGTAAAATTTTAAAAAACACTTTTGCTTAATCCAAGCAAAATACTCTTGCGATCATCATGGAATATAAGAGACTAAAAAAATGTATTTGTATATTTATATATTTCTAAGTGTAAAATGCAATCAAAACCAAAACAACTCCAAAGGAAAAAAAACAGAAAAAAAAACTTGACAAAAAATAAAACAAAACTTCTCCCTTTCTGCTGTAGAAAAAAAATTATATCAAAAGAATAAGATCAAAGGATTTTTCGTAAAAATCAAAAAAGAATACAATTTTAAAAGAAAATGATAATGGAAAACAAAAACTATATGTCTGCCTGTCCATCCATCCGAACAAAATAAACGTTCTATTATAAAATATTGTTTGTTTGAAAGAAGTTAAGAACTGTTTTGATCCTAATAGAAAAATTTAACTTCAAAACATCACATATTATCATACGGTGCAAAACTTCTTCACTTCACGTAATCTTATTGACAAAAAATCAAGCAAAACTCTAAATCACAGAAAGATAAGCTAGAGAGAAAAGAAGAAAGAGTGCTAAAAAAAGGAAGAAAAAAATCTACTAAAGAAATCAAAAACCCGAATCATACATTCTCAAATATGACGAATTGATTGCCAAAAAAGAAACAAAGATCAAGGAGATCGTGACTACCTTTGAATTTTAATTTAATTGATCTTCAATCGCTTGATTTACAAATGCTTTCTTTTCTCCTAATTCAGTTCCATACATATTTTCTAATTGTTGTCTAACTCCTTTTTTAGTGATCGTATTCAAATCAGCTCTTGCAAGCACTAGAAAGAAGGGAATCAAAAATCAAGAATTATTAACATCTCAATTAAACAAAGTAATAAAGTGTTGCTCTTGAGCTTACCAGATCTGATATCTGCAATGATTTGATCATCACCCGGAATCCCACCACGAGGTGAAAATAAATTCACTCCACTACCTCTTCTACTTCCCATCCCACCAACATCTCCCATAAAGTTAGGTACTCCTCCCATCATCATCGACCCTGTATTACCCATCATCCCACCTCCCGTCATGTTCATTGCAGGTAATCCAAACGGACTACCAACTCTTCCAGGTGAATCATTTCTACCCATCATCATTCCTTGTCCACCAAATGAATGAACTGACATAGCTCTTCCTGCTTGATTTCCCATATCCATATATCCTGCGGGTGGCATTCCCATTCCCATTCCACCACCGAGCATCATACTACCGCCACGGCCTTGATATCCTGAAAGGAGAGATCGTCCATCTACATTGTGATCAAACAAGCCTGGTGAACCTGTCCTGCTATGACCACCCATCATCGGAGGATCATATGATGTCTCTTGTCCATACAACGACGCTTCTCTAGCGGCCGCGTCCTTTCCAGCAATAATCGATCCAATCGATTTATTCGAACCCTGTTGACATTCCATAACAAGATCAGTATTATCATCATTATTATATTAACGCATTTGAATGACTCACTCTTTCCCAAAGTTCATTCTCATATTCTTGCCAAGTCTTCAAAGGAATCGAACTTGGATCAAACTTTCCTTCATCGTGAATGACAACCGTCTTTCCAGATTCTCCCATGACCAATCGAGTATTACCCCAACTGAAATCATCCATCTTCCAGAATGAATAAAGTGGAAGGATAAATGAAAAGATGGGAATAGCCAAAAGATAAACAAACATCCAACCGATATGTTCAAATTTACGATGGAAGATGAAGATTAGAGCTTGTAAACCGTAAATTGCTGCAATCATAATGATCGAAGTCATTGGGATCGTTCCAGTTGAGGAAGCAACGAGATAGATAAGCTAAGGAACAGAAAAAGAAAATCAGTCTCTCCAGCAGTCTTTCTGGAGCTAATCTTGATGGGATTTGAACTCACATAGGCCAAGTATGCAACAGTAACAGGTTGAATCAAAGTCGAGAAAAGATCAATGAACACAACAAATCGCATAGAAAAGCAGCAGAAACCACACAATCGTTCAATCATCAATAATTCAGCTAAATTGTGAATGGTTGAATTGATCCATCTTCGTCTTTGTGATAACAGAATTTTCCATTCGTCTGGTGCAATCGTCTTTGCAAACGCGTCTTGGATGAACGTTGTCTTGAAAGAAGGGAAGGTCTTGAGTAAAAGTGTGGTCAAATATCGATCTTCACCAAGATGAAGTAGATTTTTCATATGCCTAAGAATGAAAAAGGCATCAGTATACATAGTTGCAACGTCTTTCGGACTTGAGAAGTGATGGGGACACGACATACAATGTGTCGACTCTGTTGACTGAATAGGATTGGATAATCTGATTACTGATCAATAGCGGCTTGTGCTCAGAAGTGCGCATACGGTAAAGAGTAAAACAACCCGGTAAACAAGTTACTGATCCAAACAAACTCTCGAAAGCTTTAGCCAAATGCTGTAAGACCATTCAGGATGTATCCAACGTCAATTTCTGATTCATGGAAAGAGACAAAGAAAGGTGACTCACATGTGAAATGAAATATTCGTAAACTTGCATCATTGTAGTCCATGAATGTTTAGCATTTGCCAGAGACGTCTCTCCACAAAGTCCGATAATCCTTTGATCATGCATCATAGCTGAAATCATTCGATTCAAACAGAACTTGTCAACTGTCGTGTCAGCATCAATCATGAGTACATATTCATAAAAGGCTGGGTTGACTCCGATCACGTTCTTGATCTGGTGATATAATTCGAGTTCACATGGGGACATAGGTGAATCAAAGTGGACTCGATTAAACAATCTCATCAACATCATCTGCGAGTCACGTTTACCCCTGTTACCCGGTCGAGAGCGTTCTGACGGTTTACCGCACTTTGCGATCACGATGTAAGGAACAACATGACCACCCGATTCATACAAGCCAGAATAGACCTTGGCCATGTTGTGTTGTTTAGCCCCCTCACCAAGACTGAGAATACTTAAGGCCTCTGGTTCCTGGTTGGGATCTGAACCCAAGATATCCAATACGATCCGTGGAGTTGGGCGATCGTTTCCGGAACCAATAATCATTCCATCGCAAACCACAAAGAGTAATTTCCGTTTATCATCGTATTTCAACTGAGTTACCGAATCAATGGCCTTTCTCAACGATTCTTCACCTTCAGTATAACATGGGATTTGAATGACAACGAATTTTTCGTGGTCTTCGGGTTGTCGAGCTTTACCGAATTGTAAAGCAGCCAAGAATTTGAAACCAATGATGGATACCATGATGATCGAAAAGGCGAGTAGAATATACTGCGAAAACTGGCATTGCGCCGATTGTCGATTATCGACTTTGGCTATTAAGAATAAGTTTCGAAGACATGTACGCTGTGCTTGTCTAGCAGTAGCTGAAAGATCGAGACCGTTGAACTGATCAGTGATATCACCACCTGCACCTTGTTGAAATAGTTGAACGACAGCAGGGCTCATAAACTGAGTGTCGACAGATGGAGGAGAGGTTCCGGTTGGTGTCCGAATGCCCGGTCCAACTGTGCAATGTCGAAAAAGATGTCAATGACGTGACAAGGTACGATCAAGATGGAAAAGTTGTTGAGTTAATACCTGTGATGTAATCAGTAAGATCATATACATTGCCATCCAAAATCGCAATTGCTCTCTTCGAGTTGCGGGCAAGACTCTTGATTTCTTTGGGGGTCTTACCCATAAAGCCTCTGCGATAGTTGTAACGAAGGTAGTACATTTGCTCGTAGTACCAGTCAGGTCTGGAGTCTGCATTGAAGGCACGCTGGTGAAGAAAAGAGCATTGATTAAGTATACTCGCTTTGCTTCACTAAAAGAAGCAGATGATAACAAGCTTACAAAATCGTGATAGACAGAGTTCGGCTCGACACTCGTGGTATTAGCACCACTGAGAATGATCCAATCGCTAATCCCATTACCATCACCGGTGCAGAGAGCACTGACTTGTACGGGGAATAGATTGGTAGCATCCGTACCCCCATATTTCTGGACAGCTGTAGTGGGCACAACCGAAGGATAATGTAATGGTGCAAAGCTAGTCAAGTCGAACACTTCTCCTCGGATTGCCACGAGCATATTGCTGGCGTCACTCGTGAATGAATGTGAGCTCAATTCATTAGATGAAAAAACATATTCTCGGGGGCAAATTAAATTGCCCATGATAGCGATGATAAAGACCGCAATCCCACACACGATCCAAATCATGATCTATGAAAGTTGAATCAGCCATGAGACTTTGCGCAAGAAAGAAGACAAGTTTTCAACTCACATTGATAGCCAACTTTTCTCGCCAAGCCATTCGAACATCTGGTCGTTTCATTCGACCGATCCACGACAGCAAGAAGTTGGGTAGGAAAAAAGTAAGAGCCCACACCAAGATTACCCATTTCTTTCGTGCACTGCTTTCTCCAACTTCTTCAGCTACCTCTTCGTGTATTGTGTTAGCGTCAGGTAGACCTTGCTTCTCACTCCCACCTGGTTTACCAGATCCGTCAAACATATTACGGGATGGTGCATAGCGATCTGTGCCCACATAAGACTTGGTCTCTGTGTCATTCATAGGTGAGCCATAACCACCTTCGGTATCTGTCATCACTGTTTTGCGATCATCATCGAAATATGCACCAGGATGAGTAGGATGACCGGCCGCATTCGAGACGAGGGGGAGACCAATTTCCGAAGAGTTGGCGCCAAAGCCTGCTTGATAATAGTTGGGCGAATGAGCACCACCTGTAGCGTATGGGTCCCCACTTGTATCGATATGGGATAAGCCTTGAACAGAGGCCTTTTCTTGATACCTTCGTTGCTCATCCGTGTCTAGGCTTCGAAGACGGTCCTCTAATTGCCTAAAGGTAGCATCCCCCATGAAAACTTTGAATTTACCAAGACAAAGGTCTACCTCAGTCCATCTCATCAACTTTCGTACTTCATCCACCTTCTCTGACCAATCACTGATAAGGGAGATTCTGATATTCTCGGCACCAATTGGCCCACATGCTTTGTAGCGTTCCCACCAATCATTTGTCTCTAAGCTAACCATCCATTCATTCTTAAGCCGCCGTGCGAGAGGAGCCAGGTTGTAGAACTTGATTTGTTGTTTAACCAGTCGAGCGTCGAACTGATTCGAAAGTTGAGTTTCATTTGTCTTTAAACACCACACAAACCAGGTTTTGGTGTCCACTAGAGTCTCGAAAAGAGTCACGAGAGAGGCGTCAAATTCGGCCACAACTGATTTGGTAGTCATGTCCTTCTTTCCCGTGTCGACAGTAGGGTCATCCTCAACGGGCGCCTTTTCGGTAGGCACGTCGTGTCTGTTTTTCCGTCGAGTGGACGGTGCGCGCATGGGCCGCTGAAGCTGTTGAGCTGCAACGATTGTACTCTCATTTTCAGGATGAGTAGTAGTAGTAAGACTGGCGCTGGCGAATAGCTGACGAATGAACGAATTAGTCGAGCCACTTGGAAGGGTTGAGGTGCGCTTGGAGGCAGAGCTTCCAGCAAAGAGAGTTACGAAGTCGGGTGAGACTACGTCTCGATTTTGATCGAGGAATCCTTCGACAGAATAGGTGACCGGTCCAGAGTAGTGTGAACATGTAAAGTTACCTGGGCGGTCAACACGAGGATCAGCTGGTTTGGAGGCAAAGTTCGAGTTGTTACCCCATCGTCGTGCCATGGCGTCAAGCATGGTGTTGTCATCCTTGTTCTTACGCCGGGTTTGATCGTCAATGATGTGAACGAGACCGCCAGGGTTGTGAGTCAAGACGCGAAGCAAATCCGAGTTATCGATGAATTGCGTCTCAATATCTGGCAGTAAGTGGGGTTGAATCTCTTCGGTAGCGTATTCAGCTCGAGTGGCGACAAAGAGCTGATTAAGTGCAAACGCATGAGCGCGTTCATTGGCGAGGTTGAAACAAAACGTATCAAGGTTGTTGCCTTCACCCTGACTAAGACCACGTCCGATATGATTTTGAGTCCCGGGCAAGTCAACAAGAGCAATGAAGGTTGCAAAGTCATCTTTGCAAAGTTTCTGGTTGATAGTTTCATTGAGCCAGGTGAAGAGAAGGCCGTATAGTGTCCTTGCCAACTCGTCCCGATTCGCGCTGGCACCTTCAGGATCAAGAAAGACGGTACAACGTTCACCAGATACCATTCTAGTCTGATAGGTCAGTGTAGACTCTAAAACCTCTGCCCGAACTCCTAAGAACGATGCTACTACATCAAGAACCGCAGTATTGGAAACCGATGCTGCTTCCGTATTTCGACCGTTATCTTGAGCAAACTCAAGATTTCCAAGGTGAAGAATGGCAGCTAAGAGTTGACAGGTAGATGCGACACCTTTTTTGGGAAATCCGATTGCTTTGAAGGCTTGCTTAAGTTGACCAAACGAGCTGGCATCGCTCGACGCTGAAGCACCGTTGCGTGACTGTGATAGGTAACGGAAGGTCTGGACGCCTTGATTACCGGTGTTACCTCTAAGGGCCTGGCCGGGGAGTTGAACCAAGCCAGTGGTTGAAGGAGATTGGTCGAGGAATAGATGAGCTCGTTCCTCTGGTGAACCACCAGCGGCAAGATAGTAAAACACATGAAAGTTACGTTCACTCGCAGGACGGTCAATGACCCTTTGACGTTCGAGATAGTATTCCAAGGTTTTGAGACCACAGAGTTTACCGTTCTCGGCGAATTGTAGCTCGGTGTATTGACCAAAGCGGGATGCATTAGAGTTATCTGAAGTGAAAGCGTTTCCAAAACTATCTAGAATGAATTGAGCAGCCGGGATCTGTTGAACGAGTTTTGAGCCCTTCTTTCCAGGGAGTGCTGATGAAAGATCGGTGATCATACGTGTTGATAAACGTCGAGCTTCCGATTTTCCACTGCCACTCTCACCGCTAGAAGAATGAAGATGGATGAAGTTAGTATGGTCACATGAGTGCAAGCGCAACATCTATGAAAGAGAAGAAAGATTGCAAACCTGAGGAGAATGGTTTGATCACCACCAGTCCTGCGCATGTAATAATATGCCTTGCCAGCCAAAGCCCAAATGTGAGGTCCAGTGCCATAACCATAGCCAGACTCTTGTTCCACTCTCTGCCGCCTATCTTCGCTACAATCTCGCCAATCAGTTGCATAAGCATTGAGGGATTGATCGGAATTTACCGAGAGAATCTTGTTGGTAGCAAGAGAGACGATACATCGAGGAGAGAGCCAAATGTAAGGAAGATCGGATAGAAATCGACCCTTGAGAACGTTTAAGAATTGATCGGCGGTAGCCTGTTGTTGCTGAGGAGATCCTGAAGGTTGATTCGTTGAGTTGATGAGAGAACAAAGGTCTGTGAGAGAAGTAGGGTCCTGAATGTGAGTTGGTGCAATAGATTGACGAGGAGAACCAGCGAAAGGGTTGTTATTATGACCAGACATGCTGGCTAAGTTGAGCCAGATGAGAGGCTATGATAAGAGAACGATGAAACTAATCAATCGATCAACCAATGAGAAAGTGCAAGAAGTGGAGAGTGAAGTTGATTGAGTCGAAGGCTTGATGATGAAGGTTGATGGTCAACCAGAACTCAATGAACAGTTTCAGTTTCAAATGGTCAAGAAGATAAATTCACACAAAACTCATTAAATTAAAAATTGAAAAAAATAATCAGTTTGCATCTATTTCACATCACATGTCACCACTTCATTTTGCAAATATCAACTGTCTTACAAATCACACCATTCACATCGTCTACATATTCATCGAAATGTTGGAAATTATCCATGATCTATCGTCACTCTCCACTTCACTTCATATATGCAAGCATCATTTACTCATCTCACAATCAAACAGTACCGCAACATCTATGAACTCAATCCAAACCAAGTGATAGCTAAAGGCTATTCAAGTCTTCATTTTACATCATCAGCTTGCAACTTGATCTATATATTGATCATCTCTGAATTGTAAAAGATCCGCGTTTCTACTCATTGATAACTACATCAGAAGTATCTGAAACTGAAAGATTTATGAGGTGTAGATGGAAAAAGAAGCCAGGAATAAACACAATAAGCTGATCTCCACAACTTCATTGAAGGATTTATTAGACAATCTAATGATCGAATCCACAGGCTAAAAAATCTACTACAAAACTCGACAGGTCTCTTTTTCATAAGACTTTTAGATCGTCAATTGGAGATTACCCGCTGAAAATAAGCAGTCAAATGTGATTACTTCGATATCAAACTGTTGCATAATAAAAACGCTTGATTTTGAAAAACTTTGACCCCACTTGAGAATTGGTATGAATTTCTTTTGGGCAAGGGAAAAACAATCTGGACAAGTCGGCATTGGAACCCGCTTGATTCATATTTTGACTACAACTATGTAAATGTCCTAATCCAATGGCATCCTCACGGGAAGCATCATTAATCATCATTTTTGATACAAGCAAACCAATTCTCATTAATTTACCTTTATGATTTTCATATCTTGACCAATAAGGTAAACCAATTACATTAGGATTTAAATCTTTTGTAAAAGTGATGGATCTACTTTGAAAATAATTTGTTCTGAAAGGTTTCGGTAAAACCAAAAAACTAGGACTTCTTGGTTTAGAGATTCAAGTTGGATTTTTAATTCAAAAAGCAAAAGGGTGGTTTTAGAATTTGAATGATGAGAATTTCATTTCCTTGTGATCATAATTTGGAGTTTCTTTATGAACCCAGAGTGTCTATGTACATACATAATTACATGAAGACATCTGGGGTTGAGGAATTCTTGAAGACCTTCTATGTGATGACTCCTCCTGTTTATAATAAGGGAAAGTAATTTAAGGAAAAAAACAACACCACTTCTACCTACACACACAACACACTTGTTGTGCTAACCCGCTTTCAAGCCACCATCCAAGACTTGGGGCAGGCCCACAGAGGAATGCTGCATGTATCACATTGCATTGAATGCTAAATATATCCCAATGCAGAGCTTCTCACTTTGTAAATTGACCATAACCCAAACTCCATTTTGAGCCACGCTCAGCCATTTCAGTTAACCCCCCAACATCCTGTTGCAAGGCTCACACCTCATTGGCTGACTATAGACCAGATTTCCCTTTGTTGAACTCATGAGAATATCAAGAATCAAGTGACTCATGTAATTTTAATTTCTTTCTTTCAGCAAAGTTCTTGGTAAAACCTCAATCACTCATCAGATGGGTAATGAATTCTGGAAATAAAAATGTAACAATGATATCAGTTTCCTCAAGGATTATGATTTGAAATAAGGAAACCTATTTGGGAAAGAAAAAAGCTGTGATGAATTGTGTTACTTGATGTACATTGCAAGTAGCAATATTTATGTCTCAAACACTGGTGGTCTCAAACCTGTGTGGCGTCTGGGCACCAATTGCCTAGGTTCTTACAAAAACACACTCAAAGACCAAAGACCAAATTGTGATATGAATTAGGATTGACCGTAATGCACCAAGAAAGTGATATTGATCAATTTTGAAACACAAAAATATCCTTATTGTCTGGAAGCAATGCAATACCACTTTAAGTGATAGCTACACAGAATAACCCATCAAGTTTTTCATTAATGATCATAAGTTGATATGGAACAGACAAATCTCCAGGTGTACTTTTGAAATTATCATTGAGGAGAAAAAGATCAATCACCAAACTTAGATGTGGACTACAATAGGTATCAGTTTGGTCTCTAGTTGGATGCTCTGATTTTTATTACCATGGTCATGGTAGTCAATGGGGCTCAGTGCTTTTCAGTGGTTCTTTTTATGCCCTTGGTCTGCTTTTACTCCAATCACATTATGTTATTTGTTTTGCATTGTTTGCACAATTATATAAATCACTGCTCATCCAAAGCAGTTCTTGTTCAATTAAAGTGGTGTCATTTTAAATGCACCTCTCCTGTGTCTGATGTTTGGCCCTTTCTTCCTACCTACAATCTTAACCACCAAATAGTCTGCTTACACTACTTCACCTTTCTTGCATACAATTTAGTACCAGAAACTGGTTTAAAATGTACTTGATAGTGCTGAGAAACAAATTTAGAGTTAATCAAGTTTGTAATGCAAGACTTCCACATATTTTACAAATTTCTCTCATCCTGCCAATTTTCTTGCTTCTGGTCCATTTGTGTGATTTTTGAAGGTGCAAAGGTGCTGCCTGCAGAGAGAGAATGGGCCTTCTGGTTCAATACCAACAAATTGTGAGGGCGGCACCAGCCACTGGGGCCCTAGTTCAGATTAAATTTGACCATTTCTATTAGAGGATGTGATCAAAGACTTCAACCATTTTTTTGAAATTCTGCCAAGTTGATGGATCAAGCTTTTACAAACATTTTCTGAAAATGTTTTTTCTTGTATGAGTATTGAATTGAGATAGGATTATGATTTTCAGGAAGCAAAGGTTTTTTTTACTTGGGAGATAAGTTGTGATGCATGTTGACCTTTTGGTTTTATGTTGGACATTGATATCTCATCCAAATTTATCAACATGAGCAAGGGTACCATAAGGAAAAGTTAATGAAGATTATTAGTTGGTTACAGATAGGAACAGATGTGGAAGCTAGGATCACAAGCATCTAGGATAGGATTCAATTTGTTGAATATCAGGTTAGATGCGTTTCTGGAAACTTGTGAAACCAAATTTATTCTGAATGAAGGCCTGATGAACGAACAGTTTCCCGATGGATGTTCAGTTTTCTGATGGATGTTCAGTTCTCTGATGGATGTTAAGTTTTTCAATAGTCGAGCTTAGGTTTGTTGGTGGTTACGCTCGGATTATTCACGATGTTTGATATTGAACAGATTGAATGAGATTCTGCATCCAATTACCTATCCAAAACTAAAAAACAAAGCTACATCCAACACTGAACTATGATTCATGGTCACTATTATTTCAGCGGGGATACATGTGTGTTGAGTTATAAGAGGTAAGAAGCAACAAACCAAGGACTGAGTGTTTTGTAAATACAACCAAATGAATAAATCTAGCAGTCTTTATCTTACTACTGTGAAAAATAAAAATAACAATAAGAACTTTGAAAAATGATCTGTTGTACACCATTTCGAAGAATTGACAATGAGAGAACTCCAGAATTATCTCAGTTTGTAAGTTCAATGAGTTTTGCGACTTAGGCGATCTTTTTTGAAAGAAATCCGATTAAATGGTTCTTGCCGCTTAGCCCTATCTGGGAATGACCATTGAGAAAGAGGTCGAAGGGGAGTAGACGATCTACCCCCTCCCGCGTATTGTTCTCTAAACGGATAAGTAGTAGCAAGTAAGAAGAGCGAGTTCCATACTTTTGTCCGTCTTAGCCGCTTTGGTATGTATGGCTCAATGAGTACAGCTAGAGGTTGAAGCATGAAAAAGATTTCAAAAGCAGGTAACGAGGTAATCGTACGTGGATTAGATCGCGAAGGCCGAGGCATTACTGGGATACGCAGATCAAAAAGTGTTCATTGTCAGCCGATGTAAAAAAATGAGTCTTTGAATAAGACTAAACTCAACCATGTTCGTGTTGCCCAGTAGATGCAAGATAAATACCAATCAATCCAGCTAATCTTTGAAGTTTCGTTTTACCGCCTAATCTCTTAGTCATCCAGACCAAAGGTTTTCCACCTGCCACAACGAAACCTCTCTTGAAGAGTGTATGCCCACATTCAGACCAAAGTTGAGCAACAGAGCTAGCACGCTGAGGTGAATGAAACATGGGTGGTAGGTACAATGGGTTGACCGAATCACGTATTGCTTTCGGAAATCGAAGAAGACTCTTTATCTTCTGTGACGCCGTAGAGACCGGTGTATGATAGGTGAAGCGAATATCTATGAGGCAAGCTAACCATATACTAAAGCTGAGAAAGTAAAGGGACTCCGCAAGGATCTTCAATCCGGGAAAATTAGGTACCCCGATTGATCGAAGAGCTGAAGTTGGTGTTTTCAGTGGTGAATCTCGAGTCAAGGTGATAAAGACAATTGCGATGTTCATAGGAACGGCAATTGGAAGGAAACGTTTGATCAGATATGCAGTACTGAGGGCCATAGCAGCTCGTCCCCATGTGAAGTTTAACCCACGCATTCTGTCGACAAAAAAGAGATATTTTGGGTCAATGTGATGTAAGACTGATAGAGTTCAAAGATGTTCTGATGATAGTAATTGAAGGAATGTCCACGCGATCAACCTGGAAGTAAGGGCTCGCTCACGAGGCAGAGGGATCTTAGTTAAGTTAGGAAGCAAGGCTCATTCTCTTGATCATTTTTGCAGGTTTCATCCTCCTTGGTTTTCTCCCATCGTTGGACGCCTTCAAGAGTCATATGAAAGTATGATGGGACACGTCCTGTCCCGTCTAGTACGCGTCGGAGGCTGATTCCCACTCGAAGCATTTCACAGCTGTGCACAAAAATGACATGCATCAGGAGATGAAAGGAAAAAAAGATGATGGATTGGGTTCAGGTTAACAAGTCCCTCGCGAGTCGCTGCTTCTCGTCCGCTTCGAGCGCAGCGAGGGACTTGGATAATTTCAGGTTCAGATCATTGCTGATGGCTTTTACTTAAAACTCACTGACATGGTCTTTATGAATCAAATTGAATGATCTTCTGAATGAAGCTGCCTCACCTGGATCTCTGCTTTTTCTTGAGCTTCCCTTCTGAGTTACTGCAGGTGGTTTGTTTCAAAGTTTGGTCTCGTTATGCTAATGACAGATGAGGATAATGTATCGGTTTGATTCACTTTGGCTTGGGTAGTGGGTAATAGGTATGGCTTCAAAATCTGCCTTGAGATTCTGAAACAAAACTTGCTCGCTACAAGGGGTAGGCACCATGTTTTTCGCGATGTCCACTTTGACTCGGGGGTAGGCTCGAATGCTCTCGAAAATCACGATCAACAGGCACTTCGAATCAGGCAAGATCAGGCATTGAGCAACTCGACCGCGGATCCATCCAACATGAAGTCATTTCAGACTATGATATTGATGTTCGATTGGCCTGTTTTGCTGACCGCTATGGGCGTTTCGGATTTATCCAAGATCATAGGTCGTCCTGTTTCTACCACGGAAAGCTATGCAAAGTCATGGTCTCACTTTACGGAACACGATCCGCCACTCCATCAACAAGAAGTTTCTCGATCGGAATTGGAAACTAGATATCCGTCAAATGTATGGCGTTCTGGTTCACAGATGGAACCTCATTGGCCAGACACGCATCTCTTCAATGCTCCTTCATCCGACGCACATACGAAAAACATCGCAGAAGGAACATGGTTTGAAGATCAACTCGAGAGCCCAGGGCACTACAGCGAATTAAACCATGTAATGGGCGAGCTTCCAGGAATCAAGCCAGATCTGCGGTCGTGGCTCGACCAGCTCAGCGCAGCTGACTTCGATGGAGATCTACACAATGATGGCTTTCATTCAAGTAGTCCCTACAACAGCGTCACAGGGCTCAGGGGTCACTCAGAAGTGCAAACTACCTACCATCGTGACCCTCTGGCCATTTCGACTTCACCTCACAATCAATTCTCGCAATCATCATCAGGCCACCATATTCCTGCCGAGCATCCGATAGCATTTTTGGACAGTGATTTGGCTCGTATGCTTGATGAAAATGAAAACTTTTCTTTTGACTCTCAAACTTTGAACAAAGAGCCCGCAGCAATTTTACACGACACTTCATCGCACTATCCCGTTTCTCAAGCGATCTCTTCTATTGAAAACGCAGGACGGCCTCACGAAACTTTTAAAGACGCTTCAGATCATGTTGCCCACGGCACGCCTCGAAGCACATGGCCTACATTACCTATCTCAGAGGCCACGCTGGCGTCAGAGTCGTCGCCAAACTAGTCAGTGGTTCTGACTGGGTTTGATGAGGAATGAAAACCTTTTTCTAATCCTTGATCGGTCTACAGTGGTTTACGAGATTCTCCAAGTGCATCCGATCCCAACCCACTCCTTCAGTTTTTATCACCGGCGACTCATTTTCAAGAAGATCACCCGACGCCCGGACAATTGTTCAGATCAGGACAGCTCAAGCGTCCATTCACGACGGAAGAAGTTGAATTTCAATCTTCAAAACACAAAACTCGCCAGAATCCTTCTTCATTTGATGCCAAAGAAGGATTTATCAGTCAAGTACAAAGGTATCGCCCGTCCATACATACCGACCTTCCTATCTCGGCCTCATCAGACCCCCCAAATAAGCAGCCCTCATGGCTACAATTCGAACCCCATACAACTCCTGAACTTGACTCTGAACCAAATCATATTTCAAAACTCAAAGAACATGACCACGAAGGAAATATGTCTGATGATCCAGTGGATCTTGAAATTCACCAATCAAACATTAAATCTATAGCAAAATATTATGGAAAAAGTTGGCATCGAGAAGGTTTGAAAAAGGAGATATTATTACAAGACGATGCAAAACTTGGTGTAGTGAAACTTGGATCAAGCTACAATCATCAATCCATTTTACCTAAGGCTAGAGATATAATTGATGGATATCAACCTGAAATTAAGAAATTTTTAGACTTATTCTCAGTAAATCGTATCAAAACGGAACATATACCATATCTCGAACTCAATATGAAGGAACTTTTGGATAATTTTTTAGACATCGTAACCATTTGTTCTGAAGTTGTATCGTCTATTGGTTTGCATACAAATATGGAAGAAGACGTTCGTGATGGTTACCAATGGTTCATTAAAACATTAGCAGCACTTCCAGACACTCCATTTGAATACTTACCATTGATCGGAAACACTAAAAGGCTAAATAACGAGAAACTCTTTGACAAAGAGTTTCATGGTCTTTCTCCATATGCTGGTACAGTCTTTTGGTTATCTCATAGGTTTCATATTAGAAGACGTGAAACAGTGGGAGCATCGTTGGGATTAGCATTTATGCTTGAAAATCGAAAGCATTGGCTCAAATATTTGACCTCTTCACTTGCTGTCAATGGTAAGTTGATACCCAAAACTTTATTGGTTTCAGCAAAAAGGGTACGACCATTGAAATATCCTAATGCGTCATGAAGAGGATAATGAGCATGGTAATCATACTAAGAAAAGGGGCTATGGGATTATATGGGATTATATTCTAGATGTCATGGCTGATGACCAGAAGAAAATTTTGATCACAACGAGAGAGCCTCACAACTGGCTCATAAGCCTGAGTTACGGTGATTGGTACTGTAGTAATGCAGCTTGAAATGTAACATTAACCTGAAGTAAAATGTTTAAAGGGAGCAATACCTTGAAATGCTCAGTTGAGATCCATCTTGAGGGAATCAAACGCGCATTCTCAAATTGGAAGTTGGACATATGAACCGTTATACAGTGTGTGGCAAAAAGCTCTGCAATATATATCAGACTTGGTTTCCTAAGCGTAAGAGAGCTCTTTTCCTCCTCTACATTTTTCATCCTACCACCTTCATGGCGGTGCACACAGCATCTTCCCTGCATATCTTGATAGAGTTTTTGGACTCAGGAGAGCTTCTCTGGATGTCCTCCTACACCAACATATCTCAAGTTTTTGAAGAGTCCTAGAAGTAGGTTAAGGAGCTTTTTTGAAACAAACACTCACTTCCTTCTTGTTTTGACAAGGACTCTTTAAAGGAATTTGGGATATCCCCAAGACATCACAAAAATGAGTGTATCTTTCAAAAGAAATCCAAACACTGAATTGAGAATTGTTCGCATAAGATTAGTAATCAAACAGTGACAAAATAAATGAGAGGTTGGAGTGACACCAAGGGTCAGACTCAGACTTGTAATGATAAGAAAAGTTTGAAATGAAACAAGAGATCTTGAAGCTGGAAATTAAAATAGAGATTGTATATCAAAGTACAAAGGGAAATATATGATCAGATGACCTTGCAGGTTATTTCAAAATTCAGGGCGAGAGCTGCGACGAGTGAGTCAAATCTTGACATATGTACATATATGCCGGGTGATAATTGTTGTCTATTTATCAGATCATCAGTTATGATCATCAAGTGGAACAGACTGCACAATGTGTCATATCAGAAAGATTAGATGACCTGATATGGCAATGAATATGAGCTGATTGGAAAATTATTGATATAGTGTGTTGAACCCTACATATTCTTTCAAAGGTGATAAGGCGTACAACAAGGACCATTTTGGAAGGGGCCTAAGAGTAGCAACAACTCTACCTTCGCCCAAGTATTGTTCTCTGAATGAATAACAGGTAGCAATTAAGAATAGGATGGTCCATAGTTTTCCTCCTCCGATCCGTTTTGGTATGTGAGGGATGATAGATGGTTCAATGAGTATACCAAGGGGTTGGAGCATGAAAAAGATTGTAGAGCCGGGTAATGAGGTGATTGTATGTGGATTGGAGTGTGGTGGTTGAGCCATTACTAGGAGGACTTTTATTCAAATCAAAAATTGTTCACGGTCAGCAAATGTGAAACAAACTCTTTAATGAATGAAAAGATGGAGCTCAACTATATTCGTGTGTCGCTGCAGATGCAAGAAAAATACCAAGCAATCCAGCTAACCTTTGAAATTTTGTAGTGGCGCCTAATCTCTGTGCCATCCAAACCAAAGGCTTCCCGCCAGCCACAACAAAAGTTCTCTTTAAGAATGTATGCCAAGTTTCAGCCCAGAATTCAGCAACGGAACTTGAAGTTTGTGGTGAATGAAATATAGGTGGTAGGTACAATGGATTGACTAAATCAAGAATTTCTTCTGGAAATTGAAGAAAACTCATGATTTTGTGTAAGGCCGTGCAAATCAGTGCACAAAAGGTGAAACGAGTATCGAAAAGACAAGCTATCATCACACCGAAGCTGAAAGAGTAAATGGACTCTGCCAGGATCTTCAATCCGGGGAAGCTGGGTACCCCGATTGATAGAAGTGCTGACGTTGGTGTTTTCAATGGTGAATCGCGGGTCAAAAGGACGAAGACTATTGCGATGTTCAAAGGGACACTGATTCGAATGAAACGTTTCATCAGATATGCGGTACTGAGGTTGTTGGCTACAGCAGCGGGTCCCCATGTGAAGTTCAACCCACGCACTCTGTTGATAAAAAAGTTTTTTTGATTAGAGTTAATGAGGTGATCGCATGAGGCTGAGGCTGATGGAGTTCAAAAGCATACTGACGATGTCAATTGAAGAAGTGTCCATGTCATCAACTTAAATATACCACAAGGCTCATCCTCCTGTTTCTTTCTGAAAATTTCATCCTCTTTGACTTTCTCCCATCGTTGTACTCGATTGATAGTTGCGATGGGCCGCTTATAGTACGCGCCGGTGGCGAATCCCCACTCTAGGCATTTCACAGCCGTATAAATTGCAGATAATCCCAATCCCAAGTTTATCCCAGCGCTCGATTCCAGTGGAATGAAACAGTATCGGAAGGGAAGAGTGAGGGACCATATCACATTGATAGGTGACAGACTGATTCGTATCAACCGAGCGAGATTTGAATGAGCAAAAGTCGGGTGAAGTAATGCACACTGGCACATCACCAGGGCGTATGGAAGAAATGTTTGAAATGCAATTGGTCTGCATTGTGAAGGCAGTCCGTCTTGGAAGGTTGCGTGTGACGAGTTCCCGGATGGAAAGGTATTTGAGGTGTCCATGGATGATGGCATGATTTATGGCAGGCTTTAAGGGGGCTGATGTGTGCGATAGACGCGCGACAGAGACGCAGAAATGTCGAGGATCGGTGGTATGGCACACGAATAGGCAGTACAAATATATAGATCAAAACACTGCAGTGATCGGACTATGTACGCCTCGATATGGTAAAGACCTCGATTCCGAGTCCAACAGGAAAGATGGATATACGTTTATATACATTGTAGGCTAGGACGCGCCGCAGTCGTGCCGCACACGTTGACAGTCTCTCAGGCTACTTACAACAGAGGTTATTTTCAGGTTCATAACTTCAGATTCAAGATTCAGGTTCAGGAAAGCCAAAGACTCAGCAGCCAGATTTGCACCCCGATCGGTTCCCCGTGAAAGACTATGACCGGAAACATTAGGGGTCGTCAAATTGGGCAAAATCGTGTAACTTCGAATTGCACTGGACCGTGTTCTATGATATGATAGAGCATTTACAAGTACAGATAAAAAACACAAAAAATCGTTGAGATGAAAAGGATAGAAATTTGTTTTGAGACAATTCGAACACCATCACCTGAAATCCTAACAACACTTCTAATGCTATTTCTGCTGAGCAAAACCACGGCTAATGACGTTATGGCGATCTTAGATAGCTGTAGGTGCGAATATTTCGGACGGTAGATAACGATTTCGGCAGTGACAAAGACAAATGAAACAGAGGGTTTAGAGTTGTAAAAAAGGAAAAGAATCAAAAGAAGGATAGAAAGATCCTTCAAAGGAAAACAAATTGCAAAATTGGAGTAGAGCTCATACAAATCCAAAGTGAGAAGAGAGAGAGAGATAATCAGACGAGCTTCGAGAAAATTTGTACAATCGCTAAGACACAGAAACATGAGAATTTGAACATACATAAGAATGGCTGTCAGTTTATGCATTCCTTTCACTGCTCTAACAATAGATTGAAGCTGATTATCTACGTAGATCAGTGAAACAAAGTGAAACAAAGTGAAATTTTGCTTCATGAAATCTATTGTTTAACTGGTGATAAGGTGTATAACAATGACCATTGAGAAAGTGGTCTAAAAGAACTACTTAATCTACCTTCTCCCAAGTACTGTTCCCTAAATGAATGACTAGTAGCAACTAAGAAGAGGATGGTCCATAGTTTTCCTCCTCCAATCCGTTTTGGTATGTAAGGTATAATTGCTGGTTCAATCAGTACACCAAGAGGTTGAAGCATAAAAAAGATTCCAGAACCAGGTAATGAGGTGATTGTATGAGGATTAGAGTGTGGAGGTTGAGCCAGAGCAAACACCACTGTGGATCATATCAAAAAAACATCATAAACAAATGTAAAAAAACATTCTTCGAAATGAAAAGTTCAAACTCAACGATATTCATGTAGCACAGCGGATGCGAGATAGATACCCATCAATCCAGCTAATCTTTGAAGTTTCGGAGTACCACCTAATTTCTTTGTAATCCAAACCAATGGTTTTCCACCAGACACAACAAAAGTTCTCTTCCAGAGTGTATGCCAAGATTGAGCCCAAAATACAGCAACAGAGCTAGCACTTTGTGGTGAATTGAATAAAGGTGGTAGGTATGATGGATTAAATAAATCAAGTATTTCTACTGGAAATTGAAAAATACTCATAATCTTGTATAATGCCGTACAGAGTAGTGTGAAAAGTGTGAATCGAGAATCTATGGTGGAAGCTAACCATGCACCAAAACTGAGTGAATAAATGGTTTCGGCTAGGATCTTCATTCCGGGAAATTTTGGAACTCCGATCGATAGAAGAGCTGAAGTTGGTGTTTTCAATGGTGAATCGCGCGTCAAAGTGATAAAGACGATCGCGATGTTCATAGGGACGGTGATTTTAAGTAGTCGTTTGACTAGATATGTGATACTATGGGTATTGGCCACAGCAGCTGGTCCCCATGTGAAGTTCAACCCGCGCATGCTTTCGACGAAAGAAAGGAATTTTATTAATTGATTGCATGAAGCTGATAAAGTTCAAAGGAATACTGACGATGTGAATTGGAGAAGTGTCCACGTGATCAACTTGAAAGCACTACAAGGCTCATCCTCTTGTTTCTTTTTGAACGTCTCGTCCTCTTTGACTTTCTCCCATCCTTGTACTCCATCAATAGTTTTGAGGGGTCTCTTATAATACGCGCCGGAGGCGAATCCCCACTCCAGGCTCTTCACACCCGTAAGAATTCCCATTGCTGCCAATCCCATATTTTTCTGTCCGCTCAATTCCAGTGGAGTAATACAATATCGAAAGGGAAAAGTGAGTGACCACATCACGTTGATAGGTGTTAGACTGATTCTAATAAACCGAGCAAGATTTGAATGAGCATAAGTCGGGTGAAGTAATGCACACTGCCACAACACTAGGACGTATGGAAAAAATGCTTGAAACACGACTGGTTTACATTGTGAAGGCAATCCTTCTTGAAATATTACGTGTGGGAAGCTCTCGGAGAGGAAGGTATTTGATGTGTTCATAGATGACGACATGGTCTCGGTGAGGCTATAATGGTCTATGTGGTATTTGCTATTGATACGCTATGGAGCTACATGAGCTGCCCATTTATACCTTGAAACACTACCGTGATCGGATTACACATAAAGCTGATGGACACTGACGAAACGAGGCTCCGGCAGGGGACATGGAGTTTGAAATTTCCAACAGCCTCCTGTTGATGCACCTGGCTCATGTAAATGGAATCTAATGTGGCCTCATGTGGCATTCCTGACCACCCGGAAGGAGCTGGACTTTACAGATAACCAGGTGGACACGGTAAACTTCGATATGATTGCTCCATGCGCAGCGGTACAAAGGAAACTCATACCTGCTCGAAGTGGAAGTATGCGCCCCTCTCGACCTCACCGACCAGTCGCCCTCAAGGTTCCGAAAGTGGGTCCATGAAACTGCCGACGGAAGTGGGGATCAGAAAGTGGCGACGTACATACATATGTGTTATGAAGGTTAAATAACTACGTTCATATATCCAGCCGCCTGCCGATCTCAGAGGCATCTCATCACTTGAACTGCCCCATAGTTTAATCGTTTTCAGGCAGCCTTGTAGATGGCAAAGGAAGGTTTGTAGGCTCTAGTCATGAACCAACATGTAGTACTTTCAACAAAGAAAAGCGCAAAGTATATAAAGACCAAGCAAGTGCACGATGTTTTTTGATTATATATGGAATATATCTGAGCAGGATGGCTTTAAGTTTAATAGATTGACCAAAGGCATATAACAACCTTTTTTACTGTTCGGGACCTTCTCCACCTTCTCCACCACCACCCGTTGGCATCGTTTGTGGTCCACCGCCACCTTCCTGTCTTGGTCGTCTGTAAAGTAAAATATATCGTCAGAGATAATATCTTCTAAACATTCATTAGGGGGCTATATGCTTACTTGGCAGAAACAATATCATCCACTCGAAGTAACAAGCAAGCCGATTCAATAGCAGTCTTCATGATTTGAATCTTGACAGCAGCTGATTCATAGAGCCCGATCGTGTTCATATCAGTGATTACACCTGTATCACCGTCAATCCCGAACTCGTGTTCACCGGCGGCATGCTTGGCCTGTTATTTCAAAGAAGATTTATTCATTCAACTTCTTATCAAGTTTGTGAGACAAAGAGAGAATCAAACACATACTCTAAGTTTCGCCAAGAGTCGAATCGTATTACCACCACAGTTTTGAATCAAGGTTCTTGGGATCACTTCCATTGCCTCCCCGACCGTTCTGAAAGGCCAACCTTCGACACCTTCAATAGTCTTAGCTTTATCTGATAGGCCAACTGAAATAGCCATTTCAGTAGCACCACCACCAGGAGCGAGACGTGGGTCAAAAACCACATTACGAGCAACAGCCATTGCATCTGCTAAATTTCGGTCGATCTCATGGAGGATATCTTTGGATGGACCTCGTAAAAGAATAGTACACGCCTTTGGATCTTGACATTTAGTCAAGAAGGTAAAATAGCTAAGTAGTGATCGAAATGAATGAATCAACTTTTCGTCTCTCATCAGATTATAAATCATTGTTGACTTACTCATCACCAAGTTTTTCAACGTGGAATAGACCACATTGGGTACCTACATCACTGTCACGTAGATCTTCGACACGGTTAACGATTGTGGCACCTGTTGCTCGTGCTATCCGGTTATTGTCTGATTTACGAACACGACGGATAGCAGAGATATCCGCCTTTTGAAACCAATACTGAGCGTAATCTGTGGACAGAAATATCGTTTCAGCTTAAGAAGGCAAGCTTAAAATAATTCTTTAAGAAAATACAAACCTGAGACACCCTTTTCGCAGAACACAAGATCGGGTTTAAATTCGATAATCTTATCACACATCGCTTTAACTTGTTCTTCTTCAATATCCAAAAATCGTTCATATTGTCCTTCTTTTTCCAATTCGATGTTTGTTTGACTTTCTCCTTTTTTGTATTCTAATGGACAATCGAGTAAGATGATTCTAGGGTTTTCAATTCGTCTACGCATCTTAGCATGTGTGACATCTTTATTGACCATCACACCGTCTAATACTCTACTATCTTCAATCTCTCCACCTGGTACTTTTTCAACTCGGGCATATCGTTTGATATCAACTTCTTTACGTCCATTTTCTTCTGTGCTAACAGTTCTAACAGCTTGAAGTGCTAATTTACACATCAAACCACTCCATCGACTACTAAACTTCGTACCAATTGAAGTTTTGATAAGCTTGAGCATTTCCTCTTCATTGTTAAGATCAACTGTGATCGAAATCTTGTCAATGATTTTCAAAGCCTCAGCCAATGCACGTTTGAATGCTCGAATGATGACCACAGGATGGATGTTACGTTCTAGATGAGGTAAAGCAGATGCCAAGATTTCGCCAGCAAGAATGATGATCGAAGTTGTCCCATCACCACATTCCTGTACAGAAAATTGAAGATAATCTGTCAATACCCAGTCAAGTGACAATATTTGTTGAAGAAAACGAATGACAGACTTCATCTTGTGTACGACTCAGCTCAATCATAGATTTAGCTGCTGGATGGGCAACCTCGATTTCACGTAGGATTGCGTTTCCATCGTTAGTCAACCTAAAGTGTCCAAGTATCAGAAATTGTTGAAACGGTTTCGAACGGCAAGATGATCACAAACAAGATACCACCCATAGGATCGAGAATCTAAACAGAATGATAATCATATGGATCAATATGACTGCATATCATGATTCAACCCAATCATGGGAACGAGAGTTTGAGGAACCCTCGCTAGCTTACCATTTTTAACATCGCCTTTGGACCTAAACATGTCCTGATCACATCTGCCACAGTTTTTGCGGCAGTGATATTAGAAATTTGAGCTTTTCGACCACTTTGACGTTGAGCCGAGGGCGCATCTAGCATGACAGAAGATTTATAAACAACTTGATCAGCATCGGTTTTTTGGTGACATTTGAAACATTCATGATGGTTACGCACTCATTACCATTACGGGTGCCGACATTTTGAAAGAATGAAACCACTAGTATTCCTCAGAGAAAGAATAACGTTCTACTAATTTATCGAGACTTTGAACTTCTTTTCCTTCGTTTCTTGTTCTTTTTTGGTTTTGTTGTTTTACGGTCAACAGTTCATCAATCTCGATCTCGTCCAAAACCAACCAAAAAACTGAAACCAGCTTAATCTCAACTCACGTGACTTGTGGACTTAATCGGTAATGTCCAAAACCTCAGAACTAAACATTTAACATCACACATTCGCTTTCTTCCATCAACCCTCACCGATTGTTCCACTATCAGGCTCAGCTGCGTCGAAAAGGATATCAACAATTTCCAAGTGAGTCGATCCACAAATTCTGTCAGAAATGGTTTGAACTCACTAAGCTTGCTTTGACTTGTCCAGGAATCCGGGTGATCGTTACCTGCAACCTCGAGTGCCACAGCATCATCATGACCTTCGTTAGGGCTATCTCGAAGCTCAAGTCACCACTCCAATCAACTCTACCGATACCTCCAAAGGCTTTCACTTCACTTCAATCCAACTCCATAGCATCTAGCTCTAGATTCTTCTCATTGACTTTCACCAATCGAAACCCGGATGATCCCTTCGGATTTTCTCAAACCAAACCTGGACAAACCATCAAACTTCGTGAACCAAGTAAACCTTCAACCCCAAATAGCAACCCAGAAAGAAATCCAACCTCACGTTCAACACCTCAAGTAGGCAGTGCAATCTTTCAACGAATAGCACAAAGTCGACAAAATCAAATCCAAGAATTAAAAAGATTTGATGATTCTAATCAAATCAATCGAGATGAAAAAGCAACAGTAGATCAACTTTGGGAATTAACATCCAAATTGAAAGTTCAATCACATTCAGGTCCATTATTACCATCCAGTTCACGTGTGGTGAGAACGATGAGGATTCCTCCTACTTCTTTCTTAAGTAGACCTGCTACTACGATGGATGTGGAAAGAGCTTATAAACGAGTTCAGTTTATGGTCAATTCGGCTGGATTGAGAAAAGATATTTATCTTAATAAACGGTATGAGAAACCTTATTTGAAACGTCGTAGATTGAAAAGTGAAAGACATCGGATGAAATTCGCTATTGAAGTACAACGTAGAGTTCAACTGATTAGTGTTATGAAACTAAAAGGCATGTAAAGCTTGGTTATTCAATCGTGATCAACTTTCATTAGCAATCAAATCCAAGTATCATATAGAATCCAATTCATTTGTTTATAATCTTACCTTCCTTCCATCACCTCAAAGAAACTCATTGACTGCGTCATCACTAATTTCGATTGAATTTGGTATTGGATCTGAAAGACTCATTCTACTCACCTCTTGTTATTGATCGCTTACGAAAGAGCAAACCTGAGAATAATCTACAAGACAAGAGTGAGTTTTTTCTCCAAAATTAATACACTTCGATTCAGATCATTTTTGTGAGATTAATGTAAGTTTGAGTTGAATCGATCTTATCAGATATATATTAAGAATGATTATCTGCTTGAAATATTTAGCAGATTTGGCATACCATGTAGAGTAATTTGTTTGGAACAAAAGATGAGTAAAATAGTATACAATCAAATCAATCTGATTAATCAACAAAAGCCAAAGACTGTTCGAAAGGATCAGTTAAAAAAATGAACACAAGGTATGAAAAAGTCAGAATGTATTCAAATGAGAAAGACATGTTAATCAGATGAGGGAAAATTAAATTGGAATGAGAAGAAATGGGTATTGATGGGTTATGAAGAGAATAATTATACAACCCTTTTTCTTTGAAAACATTGATACGAAAGTACATTTAAAAAAAACAGTCAATCAAAAAGGTATATATCAATCCTTTGAATTTCCTTCTCATCTTCAATCCTGATATTGTTCAGCAAACCAAGCTGTCACACTACCAGATCCAACGCTACCTTGGGACCCACTTCTATCCCTATTCTCTTTCTCTTCTTCTAATTTAATTTTTTTATTAATCTTTTCTTGTTCTTCAAAAAAATCTATCTTTTTCAAAACTTGATCATAATAAAATGGATCCCTACTAGATGGATTAGAATGATCATCTAAACATTCAGGTATAGGTTTAATAATTCTAATGATAGGTAAAGTTTGAAATGAAATTGATTTTCGAATCTTAGGTTTCTCATATGTAGGATTTAGAAAAACGTTGACGGGATGATTGTGGGCTGAAAGTGCTTCAACCGTTAGTTTGGTTGGAATGGTGGTTGAACTTGGAAGTTTCGGTTGTCGTTTAGGTACTTCTGGGATCGGTTGGTTAGGTTCAAAGAATGATGGTAAGATTGATTGTCGTTTGGTTTGTTTTCTGATTAATTTACATCTTTCTGAATCGATTTGATTCTTTTTTGGTTTTCGTTTGGGTTGTTTTGGTGATGATGGCATTGGAGGAGTTGGTTCGAGTATCATTGCTCCTGATAAAGATCCTGCACATGATGATGATGCTGAGATAGTTCCTTCAAAGCTTAAGTTGGTTGGATCTAAACTGTCTAGTAATTCAGTTGAAGGTTCAATACCACGTTGGAGGTATTTTTGGAGGATGAGATTAATTTTATTGGCACCCTAAAGAGAAAAATTCAAAGATGGTTAGGATAATGCTTGAAATTTCAAGGGAATCGTTGATAAATGAGATGGACTAACCTCTTGTCTCTTGGTCAAACGTGCCTCTGAGATGTTGGAACTACCTTTGGTGATGTTTTTGATCCAACTGCGAGGTAAAGTGGCAGTAGCTCTAGCAATTGAAATTGATGATTGCATTTTTTTTGATAGTTTTTTTTTTAAAAAAAGGGGAGGACGTGAAGTTTAGTTGATGGAGAAAGTTGAGAAAGTGAGGTAAAATAATTCAATTTTTTGTGTGTGATAGAGATGGGTGAGATTCGAAGTGATTTCAAGATCTTTTAATTTGGATGATCAAAGTTTTAGATAAGAGAGGTTTTAAAGTTGATAATGTGTTCTGATGGAAAGATAAAATTGGATGTGATCACAGAGGGTCTTTTATATCACTTGATGAAAGTTTTTGGAATGACGATACAAATGAATCAAAGAACGTTGCATCAACGGCTGGATGAAACGACTGCTCGGTCCTTTTCAATATCTTTGAAGCCAACTTCAAAAAAAAAGATACGAACACAGAGATTTTGAGATGGTTACAAATGGCTAAATCTGAATCACAAGATGGATGATGAAGGCAAAGTGATTCTGTGCTTCAAGCTTCAAAAGTTTCCTTCATCAAACTTGAAATTTAGAGAAGGATAAAGGAAACTAATTTGTGCGCAGAGTCGATCATGATTCTGTTCAGCCAAGTTACTTGACAGCCATGTTTCTCTCTTGCTGAAAATGGCGTACAATTCAAAGGAAAGTTGGGATCAGGACTTGACAAGCATGACAACAGGCTCAAACCTTACACAGCTTCGATCATTTATCTCATCCTGACATGGATTTGAGCTCGGGCGTATGATTACAAAAAGAGTGAAGTGAGAGACGTTGTGAGAGTTTAGACCGACATAGGGGTGCTCAGAAGTGCTGCTCTTGAACTGGATCCCAAATTGTTCATGAGCATGATAGACGGAACTCTTTGCTGTCACTTGGAAGAATGCCTTCATCGCCCTCCTCCGGGCATGAAGTCATCAGCCCTGATTACAATCCAGCCGGTATGATTGTTCTAGCCGAACGCATACCTTTTTCTTATATGTGGTCACGAGGCGGAGTTGTGAGTGTTCTTGTTCACATGACTCAGATAGTTTCAATACTGGAGCATCAGAAAAGGTATGTAGTTGTTTCCCATATCAAGATTCAACATTGAAGTAATCAAGTCGAAACTCAAGAGAGCCTTCATTGGGCTAGCCGATGCCAATGACTGACGTTCAACCCAGAACCATCATCAATCACAAGCAGTAAAACGATGAGGATGATTGAGTGTGAAAAATCTTGGAGCCCTCATGTTGTGATCCGGAGGCTGTAACTTGAGGAATTTCAAAAGGATGCCACCTGTCGCGACTTCTTTTCCATCCATGCTCGCGGCGCCAAGGTTTTGAGTGGTTTTCCTGGCTTTTGACAGAGATCTGGTCAGAGAGTGCACTGGAGCTCAGACTTCGCCAACCTAATCTGGATCATCATTTGGCGAGTTTGAGCTGTTGTCATGAGGGCTTATTGATATGTCGATCAAGAAACTCACATACGGGCCGGTAGCTTTGGGCTTTGGCTCAGTCTGGTTTCCGCATCGACACGCCTCTTTCAGCTTGATACATCAGGCAAGGGAGCTTACATCATATTTCACTCGAACTTTGCCCGTTTATGGAGCAGTTCACTGGATTTGTACCACGCAACTGCTCTATTCAAGAAAAGTTCACCAGGCATGACGAGCTTGGCTAAGGTCTTAAGCTCCTTCCGGATGGTCCATAATGACTCAGAGAATATGGTCCCAGTCAGACTGACGTACCAGGTGAACCGATAGGAGGCCGGAGATTCACTTGTTTCTGGAGAGTTCCGAACTCAATGTACCCTTGCAGAGCCTGGTCTCGTCAGGGTTCAAAGTGCTCATCAGCCCCTTGTTTAGCCCGATATACAGTGCTATATATGTGTAGCTGATCTACAGCTTGCATCCATACCCCAACTTTCGTATCCAATCATATCATCACCTGCACTGCGTATCAATCACACAGATTACCAGCCCGCTTATAGCTTGCGTAAGACCATGTCGTCCTTTATGAACACCTCAAATATCTTTACATCCGAGCACTTCTCACACGGAGCCTTTCAAGACGGACTACCTTCACAATGCCAACCAATCACACTCCAATCAGTTCTTCCATACGTCCTGGTGATGTGCCAGTGTGCATTACTTCACCCGACTTTTGCTCACTCAAACCTTGCTCGGTTGACCCGAATGGGTCTAACACCCATCAACGTGATTTGGTCACTTACTCTTCCCTTTCGTTACTGCAAAACCCCACTGGAATTTAGCAACCAGAAAAATATGGGATTGGCAGCAATGGCATTTTACACAGCTGTGAAGTGCTTAGAGTGGGGATTCGCCTCCGGTGCATACTATAAGCGCCCCCTTAAGACCATTGATGGAGTACTGCAATGGGAGAAAAACAAAGAGGATGAGACCTTCAAAAAGGATCAAGAGAATGAGCCTTGTAATGCTTTCAAGTTGATCACTTGGACACTTCTTCAATTGTCGTCGTTAGTATGCCTTTGAGCTCTTTCAGATTTATGCAATCGCTTCATTGACTCAAAATCTCTTCTTTATCCACAGGATGCGTGGGTACAACTTCACATGGGGACCAGCTGCTGTGGCCAACACTTTCAGTACTGCTTATCTAATCAAACGTTTCATACGAATCAGCGTTCCTTTGAACATTGCAGTCGTCTTCATCACCTTGACCCGCGATTCCCCATTGAAAACACCAACTTCAGCTCTCCTATCGATTGGGGTACCCAACTTCCCCGGACTGAAAATCCTCGCAGAGTCTATTTACTCGGTCAGCTTCGGTGCCATGTTAGCTTGCACAATGGACACTCGTTTCACCCTTTCTACACTTCTCTCTAAGGCTGCATACACTATTATGAGTTTTCTTCAATTTCCAGAAGAAATTCTCGAATTAGTCAATCCATTATATCTACCACCTATGTTTCATTCACCTCAGAGTGCTAGTTCTGTTGCTGAGTTTTGGGCTGAATCTTGGCATACACTTTTAAAGAGAATGTTTGTTATGGCTGGGGGGAAACCTTTGGTTTGGATTACAAAGAAATTAGGTGGTACTACCAAACTTCAAAGATTAGCTGGATTGCTCGGCATCTATCTCGCATCTGCAGTGCTACACGAATACAGTTGAGTTAGACCTTTTTATGAATCGAAAGACTAATGTTTTCAAGCTGGCTGACGATGAAAACTTTTTGATCTGAATGACAGTCATCCTAGCAATGGCTCAACCACCACACTCTAACCCACATACAATCACTTCATTTCCTGGTGCTGCCATCTTTTTCATGCTTCAACCACTTGGCGTACTCATTGAGCCAGCTATCATTCCCTACATACCAAAGCGAATCGGAGGAGGAAAACTATGGACTTTTCTCTTCGTACTCGCTACCACGTATCCATTCCGAGAACACTACTTGGGAGAGGCCAGGTTGAGTGCACCTCTTCGACCTCTTTCTCAATGGTCGCTCTTGTACACATTATCACCGCTGAAACAATAGTGATCATTATCGAAAGGTTTTCACAATATTAGAGCAAACACTTTTCTTACTTCTACAAACATGTATTCATTCATCATATCATCTCATTTTTCCAATATTATACCTGCATTGTGAAATATTCAAGCGTAATCACCAAAGAAAGCCTACAGATTGGGCTCCAACCTGTCGCACCGTTAAAAATTGATCACATAAACCTTTGAGGCCTTCAAACCAATGTCCCATGTACGGGTTGAACCCATTCAACACAAAATCCTAAGTATACTCACCCCCTTCAAAACAAACACATCAAACCCTGTTTGTGATGATTTCAGCGTCACTCCCACCTACGTTTCCTCGTGTGTTCTTTGGGATGAGGTGACTTGAGATTTAGAATCCCGGAATTAGGATGAAAGGGCAACATGTACATAGCGCGACCCATTCAACAAAAAAATGCTCCCCAAATCTGTATGCATCCTAGTTTCCACACAATCCAAATTGTAAAAAAAGAATACTAGGAATCCTGAATATCGTGCTCAATTAGTGAAAACGAGACACTCTCTGGAGAGCTTCCTTCAAGGAAACACCACTTCATGCGTCGAACTTATATCGTCCATTCAGCATTGCCCGCGGTGTGCCATGGCCTCCATTTAATAGTTTGAAATTCCTCCCACTGTTCTGTATGCACGGCTTGCTATCAGGTGCTCCACTGCGACCACCGCTCCATCTCGTACGCCTGGCAGTGGAACTATTGAGCCATATGCGAAGATGTCTTGGAAGAAAGATGACGTGTCACAGCTGTGAAGGTTTCACAGGTGATCAGTGTCACAGGTACAGCTCCAGCCTTCGAAACACAATTTGACTTCAGCAAGAAAAACTTATCAGACTGATTTCAACTCTCATTGCTTTCATCAAACGATTTCGAAATGACAATACTCAAATCACTCAATCTACTTCGACCAATCCTCTTCCATTCCAAGCCAAACAACTTACTTCGATTCAATTCCAATCTATCCTCAGAACCATTGAAAACTCAAATCAATTTAAATTTAAGAATGAAAATTCAATTCACATGTAAAGCAAAAGACGCAAAAACTTCAAAAACATGTGATACAACTAATAATCACGAGTTCTCCAAATTAGCTTATGAAAAAGGTATCGTTTTAGTCGAATGTCCGGCTTGTCAAAATCGTCATTTGATAGGTAAGTTCTACTTTTTCTCTTGTCCCTTGTTTACTTGAAACTAACGGCTGTATTTTTTTGGGGGGGGTTTGTGATTCTTTAGCGGACCATCTTTCATGGTTTACAAATAATTCAACGTCAGATGATCCAAATTTTAAAAATGATTATCGAAATATTGTTGATTTAATGAAATCTAAAGGTGAAAAAGTTAAAAGAGGAAAAATCTCAGATCAAAATGGTGAAGTTTTAGAGTATTATGATGATTAATGTTTTCATTCTTTGAGGTTATTTTTTTGTGAAAAATCGTTCTTTTTTGTTCACAAATTTGGGAATCAGTTGAACATCTCTTTTCATTTGTACCATTTCTTCTTGTTCTCTTTTTTGTTTGCTTGACAAGCATTGTAACAAAACTATTATATCCCCTCAGACTCGCATTTCATTGGACCACGTCAATATCCAGCTAACCCAATATTCACGGAAGCATCCCACTCAGCATCACAGTCAACCCACTTTTCTCCAAGTAGCTACCATGTAATAAAGTCTCCCATCCATTTCATTTGTCCATGTCTTTACCATATCCCTACAGAGAGTCAGCTTTTCAAACACAAGCCGCTCACTCATAATTCAAGTGGAAAAGTTGTAGCAGAAGTCTGGTGAGACTTGAATGGACAGATGGTATAAACTATGGTTTTCCACTCTACAAGCTCCAACATCTCTGAAGTGAATCATCACCAGCTTTTGATGCAACAGAGGTCCTTCCAACTTCCATAACTGGATCCGCAAACCTCATCAAATTTGGGGTTCAAAAAGAAAATACATGCACTTTCTGTCAAAGCAATATGAGTTTTATGGCCACTCTGACCGGTGGTTTTTGCAACAGAAGCTTTTCTATGACTGTAGACTATCAACACAAATATACATAATCCACTGATTGATCTTTGAATCACCCCTCAAGATGAGCTTAGCACAATTTTCTCCCGACAAATAGGGCATTTAGGAAATTTAGTGCCATTCTTCTTCAACAACCTCTGTTTGTTAGATTTGTGAAGGGCCCATTGTGAGTAGACATTCTGGCTGTGTATATATTGAAAATCTTTTAACTTACTTGCCAACAATCCATGTGAATTTTATGATCTACCTCAGAATGAAGATTGACAAGATCATCCTCTTGGTGCATGTCTTGCTGACAAATAACACATGGTTGGCCAGTTGGGGAAAGTTCAGGCATCTTGAATGTCCACATTTGAGAGTCACCTACAAGAGGAATTTTCAGTGATGGTTATCTGAATTCTGTGGGGATAATGTTTCTAGTGTAGCTGGTGCAGCCATCAATGAGACTAGTGACGACTTACTGCTATGATCCACTAGACCTTCAAGGTATGACTTGGCACCATCAATGAGGGTAGAAATGTGTTGTAGTAGGCGGATCACTGAATCTTCCTGATTAGCCAGCTGTTCAGATCCAATAGTTTCCCATCTGTGATACTGGTGCTTAATCCCAATTATAGACTTAATTAAATGTTTGATACTATACATGTTCATACTCTTTTCCTTGAGGAAAACTTCCAGCGGGTTCTGAAAAGGCCCAAGATATGTCCTTTTCAGGAAGTGATGTATGATATGTGGGAGTTCTTTGGACTCATATGCCTTCTTGAAACAACCATTTTGTGATTTCATAAATCTCACAAAATCTCTGCCTGCGGGATAGATTTTTTCATATTTATGGAGTATCATGTAGGCAAGTTCTTTGTCCCATGGTCTTGTAGCTTGTTCTTCTAAATGTCGTGAGCACCCTGACAAAAGGGTTCTCATTGTTTCTTCCTTCATTGGACAGCTTTCCTGAAGTAGAAGATCATGAGTCTCAACCAGGAATTTGGATGATTTTGAGGCTCCATCTGTCTTGAATTGGGTTGTGATCCATTTTATGATTTTAAACTTTGAGAGTGCCTCTGACAGGGCTTTGAAATCAAACACATATGTCATTAAGATTTCAAAAAACAGAAAAGAATCAAGAGAGAAGAATCTTACACAAATCAATATCCAAAAGTTTGCGGCCTTGTTTTGAGTTCCATAACTCCTGACTAGCGCTTATAAGATTTAATCCTATTTCAGAAAGTAAAATTGTCAGTCATCCATAAAATTATTTCTATATCTCAATGGCATCAAGTTATTAAATTAATTCATACCCCTTGTCAGATGAATCTGGAGGCCAGCACTCCTTATGGGTCCTTTGTTCATGTCTGTTTCTATTGGCTTCAAATCACCCTTGGGTAGATACTCTTGAAAATGAGTCAAAACAGCAAGCACCCATATTCTTTCTTTTGATTCCAAGCGGTAATTTTCAAGGATGTCTAATGCATCGTTAATTGTCTTTTCAACCTGTTTACCTTTCATGAATGCATCAGACCTGATTTTTTCTTGAAGAAATGGGAATGAGATTCTCAAGTTTGATGCCAATTCCTCCAAGTACATGTCTAGAAACCACCATCTTGGGATCTTCCTATTCACACGGAGAAGGCTCTTAAAGCTATTGATATCAGGAACTGGATGAGAATTTTTAGTTGATATCAAACTTATAGATTCTAAATTGGATGACAAGGTTGCATCAGGCTTAATATTAAAGGGTTGATAAAGTTGAACTTCAATTTCCTTTGGATTACTTCTTGGTACTGAATGCAATCTATATTGTGGTGTATATGGGCATATGATTGAGGAAGAGAATTTCAAAATTATAAAGAGACAGAAGGCAAATGATTTCATGATTCTCAAAACCAAATTTTGCTAGTGTTGGTGTTGATGAAGGAGGAAGAAGGAAAACTGATGTCTTTGGACAAACTTGTTTTCCTCCCAGGGAAAACAGCAAGAAAATAATCTCAAACTGTACTGATACAAGTCTCACAGTGGGATGCATTGAATGCTGTTCATTGGAACACAATATTCTGCCTTCAAAAAACTTTCCTTGAATCATGTTTTGAGACATGAATCACCTTGTACAATTGATATGTTGGATAACCTAATTGAAGCATCAGCATCAGGACTTGTACTTTTTGAGATTGCAAACAGACCCCCAAAAGAGAACCTTTGATGCAGGGTGGTCTACAAAAGTGTATGTTCACAGAGGAGAACATACATTTGAAAAAAAAACTCAATTGAAGTTTTTTACATTGATGGTACTCTAGAGATGTTTTGTTGCAAATTTCAACCAAATTTATTGCTTATGCTTCAATGATATATATTGGGTTGTATTTGATATATTGTGGATACTGATTGTTGCCCTAAATGTGGAACTCTTGAGAAAGATCTGAAAAGTCTTGATGCCCCACCTTGGATTTTTTCAAAGACTGCTACAGGGTCTTTTGATATTTTGATTTTCCAAACTGTCAAGAGCACACAGAATGCACAATTTCCCGTTCATCCTCTCATGAGTGAAACCATAGCTCATCCATTATCATGATTTGGAGAGTGTGTACCACTTGGAAGGGTCTGTCCCTGAAGCTTTCCAAGGGGCCCAAATGCCATTGGCCACAGGGACATTTTGCCTGCTGTGTGTTGGTCTGAAAAGAAGGCCACACAGCCAAGATTACAGTGTCTTTCCTGGTCACTTTCAGATAGTCAATCAGTGGTCTCTTGGTGGTATTAGATTGTTTCAAGGGGATAATTTCCAAGTGAAAAGGTTTTAAGCTCACCTCTGCTCCCCTTCTTGTTCCCACACCAATGCTTGCTCCCTTGGACCTTGGGATGGAGGTAGCATGATAGTGATGATGAGGAAAAGGCCTTCCAGAATCCAATCCAGCCTCCCAGACCATGGATTGGATTCTGGGAGCTGTCACAATGTCTGATGAAAAAACATGGTCACAACCACTTCTATTGAGGTGTTTATAAAAATTCAGAATTCATATGAGAGCTGCACATTTGACCACCATGCAAGACAACCCTTTATCACCATTTCAAAGGCCACACTACACCATCGAGCCAACCAATATCTGGCCAAAAGCCAAAATCTGAGCCCCTTGTCTTAATTTTCACCAAGTTATGGAACAATTTATTTTGAGCCCATCTTTTGGCTCACAGTTTGCCCTTCCTTGTAGATCTTTTGATATCTGCTGAAAAATGTGGACCCAGAAGTTAGAAGACATCCAAAGCTTCAGTAAAACATAGAACTGATCCTTTCACCAAAAATTGCATTGAATCAAAACGTCTAATTAGCTGATTTCTCAAAAAGCCTTTTATATTCATATCCTCCAATGAAGACCTTAGAACTTTGATATATGCTTTGGATTATCAATTTATGGAGATTGGGTAGAGGAAACTTGCAAAAGCAAGTCAATCTCCATAATTGTGAGATGTTGAGTGAAAGTCAGAAGTCCATACCCTACAAAAGAAACCAGAGATGAATCCAGTCTGATAAGATGGTAGAGGCTGTTTACTCCAAGTGTGTGAATAGATATGACAATTGAGGTGTTTGAGGGTCATTGCAGTTCAAGTTTGAAAAAGCACTAAAACAGAACTGTGCCTACAGCAAAATGCTGCTTATAATTGTTGAAAGTTTGAAAAACTCTGAGAAAGCCCTACCTGAGGAGCACATGTATGTGCAAACAAAAGTTGGAATTATAAAGTTTTACAGCACATGGAGGCCAAAAGACTTATAATTTTACAACATTTTTGTTTAACTTGAACTGCCCTCTTGCATTTACATATATATATGAAAGAAAACCCCAAATCAAAAGCTCAATCAAGGCATGGTGCTTGTAGGGGGTGGTGCAAAACGGGCCTCATCTATTATCAAACTCATTACATCATCATTTCTTCACCAACTTTGCTATTGTTTATGACTTTTTTTGGCCTTGTTGTCTTTCATGCTCACAACTTTGAAAATCAGTTGAACCTCTCTTTTTTGTTTGTAAAATTTCTTGTTTCATACAATTTTTTCGGCTCGAGAAGCATTGTAACAAAACTAATATCTACCCTCAGACTCACATTTTATTGGACAATGTCAATATTCTGTTAACCCAATATTCATTGTGAGAACCACCATAACACAGGTGGTCCGTAGGTCCATGAGGGCTTGCAAAACTCGTGAAAGGTGAATCCCAGAGGTAGGCGCACAGATCTCGGTACCGAGCAACACGTGTTGCCTACAGAGCTGTGCGCTGAGGAAAATGTTCCCTCTACACTCTTCACCACTTTCACCTCTCCAGTGTCTCATAGGCAAGGACACTCATTGCAAGCTCAGCATTCACTCTGTCTTCTCAAGAGATCCTTAGTGAATTCTCCGTGCAATAGTTTTTGTAGACCACCCCACCCACCCAACAAAATTGAAACATCCCACTCTCCAACCCAATGGAGGACCCCAGCAAGACTTCTTGGTTCGCAGAAACCAAATAGTCTTGGGGCAAGATTGGTTCCAGAAAACCAAGCCTCGGGCCAGGGCCCCCGCTACCCCCAACCCGCACAATCTTGACTACGGAAAGGTAAGGATCATGCATTGTGGGAGGATGTAGGACAAACCCACTATTAGCCACACATGTAGTGTAACTAACTCACAAGATCTCTACCTGAGCTGTGCCAGCAAGTAGAGAATGGGCAAAAGCATCTCACTCAGCATCACAGTCAACCCACTTTTGTCCAAATACCAACCATGTAACAAAGTCTCCCACTCATTTCCTGGTCTTCACCATATACCTACATAAAGTCCGCTCGCAAACACAAGCAACTCACTCATAACTCAAGCGGAAATGTTGTAGCAGAAGTCTGATGGGACTTGAACCGGCAGATGATATGAATTGTTCCCTATGGTTTTCAGCTTCAACATCTCTAGAGTGAATCATCACCAGTTGACGAAGCAACAGGAGTCCTTCAATCTTCCATAACTGGATCTGCAAACCTCATCAAATTTGAGGCACAAAAAGAAAATATATGCACCTTCTGTCAATGCAATTTGAGTTTTATGGCCACTCCAAACGGTGGTTTTTGCAAGAGAAGATTTTCTATGACGTAGGCTATCAACACAAATATGCATAATCCACTGATTGATCTTTGAATCACCCCTCAAGCTGAGCTTAGCACAATTTTCTCTCGACAAATGGGGCATTTAGGAAATTTAGTGCCATTCTTCTTCAACAACCTCTGTTTGTTAGATTTGTGAAGGGCCCATTGTGAGTAGACAATTCTGGAGTTGTGTATATATTGAAAATATTTTGACTTACTTGCCAACAATCCATGTGAAGTTGATGATCTACCTCAGAATGAAGCTTGACAAGAGCCTCCTCCTTGTGCATGTCTTGTTGACAAATAACACATGGTTGGCCAGTTGGGGAAAGTTCAAGCGTATTGAATGTATACATTTGAGAGTCACCTACAAGAGGGATTTTCAGTGATGTTGATCCAGATACTGGGGAGATTATGTTTCTAGTGTAGCTGGTGCATCAATCAATGAGATTAGTGATGACTTACTGCGATGATCCACTAGATCTTCAAGGTATGACTTGGCACCATCAATGTGGGTGGAGATGTGTTGTAGTAGGCGGATGACTGAATCCTCCTGATTAGCCATCTGTTTAGATTCAGTATCTTCCCATCTTTGATACTTTTGTTTAGTCCTCAATATAGAATCAATTAGAAGTTTGATACTATCCATGTTCATACTCTTTTCCTTAAGGAAAAGTTTCATCAGGTTTTTAAAAGGCCCAAGATCCTGCCTTGCCTGAAGTATGAGATTTGGTAGTTCTTTGTATTCATATGTCTTCTTGAAGTAATCATTTTGTGATTTTTGAAACCTTACAAAATCTCTGACTACAGGATAGATTTGTTCATATTTATGGAGTATTATGTAAGCAAGTTCTTTGTCCCATGGGCTTGTATCTTGTTCTTCTAAATTTTGTGAACACCTCAACAAAAGTTTTCTCAATGTTTCTTCTTCCATTGGACAGCTTTCCTGAAGTAGAAGATCATGAGTTTCAACCATGAATTTGGATGATTTTGAGGCTTCATCTGCCCTGAATTGGCATGTGAGCCATTTTATGATTTTCCACTTTGAGAGTGCCTCTGACAGGGCTTAAAAATCAAAGAAATATGGAATTAGTTTGGAAAATCAACCCAGAGAATGATCAAGAGAAAATAATTCTACACAAATCAATCTCCAAAAGTGTGGGGCCTTTCTTTGAGTTCCATAACTCCTGACTAGCTCCTATAAGATTTAACCCTATTCCAGAAAGTAAAATTGTCAGTCATCCATACAAATCTTTCTATATCTCAGAGGCATTGAGTTAAATTAATTCATACCCTTTGTCAGATGAAGCTGGAGGCCAGCATTACTTATGGGTCCCTTGCTCATATCTGTTACTATTGGCCTCAAATCACCCTTGGGTAGATACTCTTGAAGATGAGTCAAAACAGCAAGCACCCATATTCTTTCTTTTGATTGCAAGCGGTAATTTTCAAGTATGTCTACTGCATAGTTAATTGTCTTTTCAACCTGTTTACCTTTCATGAAGGCATCAGACCTAATTTTTTCTTGAAGAAATGGGAATGAGATTCTCAAGTTTGATGCCAATTCATCCAAGTCCATGTCTAGAAACCACCATGTTGGGATCTTCTTTTTAACATTGAGAAGCCTCTTAAACCTATTAATATCAGGAACTGGAGGAGAATTTTCAGTTGATATCAAACTTATAGATTCTAAGTTGGATGACAAAGTTGCATCAGGCTTAATATGAAAGGGTTGATAAAGTTGAACTTCAAATTCCTTTGGATATCTTCTTGGTACTGAATCCAATCTATATTGTGGTGTATATGGGCATATGATTGTGGAAGAGAATTTCAATAGTATGAAGGGACAGAAGACAAATAATTTCATGATTCCAAAAACCAAATTTTGGTAGTGTTGGTGTCAATGAAGGAGGAAGAAGGAAAACTGTTGTCTTTGGACAGACTTGTTTTCTTCCCAGGTGAAACATCACAAAAAATACTGCCACATATTCTGGATACAAGCCTTATAGTGGGATGCATTGAATGCTGTATATTGGGACACAATGTTTTGCCTTCAGAAAATTTTCTTTGAACCATGTTTCAAGACATGAATCACCTTGTACAATTGACATGTTGGATAACCTAATTAAAGCATCAGCAGCAGGACTTGTACTTTTCAGGATTGCAAACAGACCCCCAAAAGAGAACCTCCAATGCAGGGGGTCCAAAAAATTGTATGTGCACAGAAGAGAACATAAATCCAAAAAAAAACTCAATCGAAGTTATGTAAAATGCTTGTAATCTAGAGAAGTTTTTTCGCAAATGGCAACCAAACATATTGTCTATGCTTTAGCTTTGTATATTGAGAGTTCTGAATGCCCCCCTAAATGTGGAACTCTTGAGAAAAATCAAAGATTCTTGACATCCCCCCTTGGTTTTTCAAAGACTGCTGCAGGCTCTTTTGGTGTTTTGATCTTCGATACTGTCAACAGCACACATAATACATAATCTAATCTTCATGCTCTCAATGCATGTTGAGTGAAGCCATAGCTCATCCACTATCATGATTTGGAGGGTTTGTACCACTCAAAGGGTCTTTCACTGAAGCTTCCCAAGAAACCCTAGTACCATGGGCCACAGGGACATTGTGCTTGCTGTTTGACAGTCTGAAAGGAAGGCTACACAGCCAAATTTGCTGTGTCTTTCTTGGTCACTTTCAGATAGTCAATCAGTGGTCTACTGGTGGTATTTGATTGTTTGAAGGGGATAATTTCCAGGTGAAAATGCATTAAGCTCACCTCTGCTCCCCTCCTTGTTCCTAAACCAATGCTTGCTTCCTTGGCCCTTGGGATGGAGGCAGCATCATAATGATCATGGAGAATAGGCCTTGCAGAATCCAATCCAGCCTTCCAGACCATGGATTGGATTCTGGGAGCTGTCCCAATGTCAGATGAAAAAACATGGGCACAACCACTTCTATTGAGGTGTTTGTAAAAATGCAGAATTTGTATCACAGCTGCACATTTGACCACCATGCAAGACAACCCTTTATCACCATTTCAAAGGCCACAGGCTGGTCAATATAGGACTACACCATCCAGCCAACCAATATCTGGCCAAAAGCCAAAATCTGAGCCCCTTGTCTGGATCTTCACCAAGTTATGGAACAACTTATTTTGAACCCATCTTTCGGGTCACAGTTTGCCCTTTCCTGTAGATCTTTTGATATCATCTGGAAATGTGAACCCAGAAGGTTGAAGGCATCCAAAGCTTCAGTAAAACATAGACCTTATCCTTTCACCTTCAATGGGATTGAATCAAAGCATCTAAGCTGATTTCTCAAAAAGCCTTGTATTTTCATACACTGCAAACATTTGGGGTATACAAAGTTTGTTCTGGAAATTTCCAGACATCTTTTTCCAGAACACCAGAAGCCTCCTGCTCTTCTGGAAAACATGCAGTGTTGGTTATTCTAAGCTTCAGAATACCATAAGTTCAGAACACACCTAAAAAAGACTTTTGGTGTTCTGGGGAAACACTTCTGGAAATTTCCAGAACCATATTTGTATACCCTAATTATTCAACTTCCACAAGTGGGCAGAAAAAATAATTGGGAGTATGATTTGTCATAAAATGATCTATCACTTCACCCCTGAGCCATAAAACCCACACTATATATGTATAGCAGGCTCAATGAATAGGGTGTTATCATGTACATACAGTGCTGCTCAGGTATCTGCTCATCAGGATAAGGTATTCATATGTAATACATGCTGTAACGTTTTTCAGATTGACAAAAGCATTCAAAAGATGACTACATACACTGACTCAGTGTTGTGAGAATATGAGCTCGTTTGAAAAACTAATTTTGGCTGTGGCCAAAATATAAATTAAACAACCTGGGGCAATCAGGTGCGACGTAAGTCAGTCGGCACAAGCCTAAGAGCTTCGAAGAGCTACTTGAAAAAGATAACACACCTGGGGCAATCAGGTGCGACGTAAGTCAGTCGGCACAAGCCTAAGAGCTTTGAAGAGCTACTTGAAAAAGATAACACACCTGTGCGTATAGCAACAGGGAATGAGGCAAAGGCGTCGAACAAAAAGTATAAGTAAAAATAGTATAAATGAGTTTCTTTCCGATGATCATAATCACAACTACTAACCTGGGGCAATCAGGTGCGACATAAGTCAGTCGGCACAAGCCTAAGAGCTTCAAAGAGCTACTTGAAAAAGATAACACACCTAACCACGCACACATGTTAGTTAGTAAACGTAAGAAAAAGTAAAAAGTGAACTATGACAAACCTGTGCGTATAGCAACAGGGAATGAGGCAAAGGCGTCGAACGAAAAGTATAAGTAAAAATAGTATAAATGCTAGTAATGATAATGAGAACAGATTGTTAGAGAGATTTGTAGAACAGTTGTTGAGAAGAAAATAAAATCACTTACAGTTTCTTTCCGATGAGGAAAGAAACTGGGTGGTACAAACAAAGACTATATATACCATAAAACATAACAAGTTTGTAAATTTATAACCACGGACATAAAAAGAAAAAGCTCAGGTCACACTCGACCTATTCCCAAAAGATAATGAAAAGATAAATAATACACAGACCCTAAGTCTATACTCAAACATTTGACTGCCTCTAGAACTTCTAACTTGATACTTGATTAATGAAATAAATGTGAATATAAATCTAATCGAGAGCGAGCTGGAAGTTCTTGATAATTTGTTGCCTTGATGTGAAAGTAAATGTAACTAAAAGGATTTAGACAAGACCAAGCGTGGTTATTAAATACCACAACACGCTGTGGTAATCAAAATATCTGCGCTAAGAAACTGTGAATTGTGGAATACTCAGTTTGAGTGTTTTTCAAGATCACCACCTATCAATCAAATTAACTCCAATCTTCTTAAACTCAATCAATTTCCTTTAATTATATAATCTTTAAACTCTCATTAAAACAAAACAACAACAAACTTTATAACTCTTCTGCTTCATTTTTACACTATCTTAAAGTGTTGGATTTTTATTGGATCCCATTTACTTTGTTTAAAATAATTCAATTTTGATAAAGTCACATAACTTACAATAACAAGCAAAAATAATTAAACCAAAAAATCTAGATATCTAAATACAAATCTTTCAATTATACAATCTAATGATCCTTCATCTTGTTCAGTAACTTCACCATCTTCAAGCATTTCCAACTTATCTACAGATGCACCAATGACTGATTGAAAAAATCGAAATTGAATTTAATTAATGACACTGAAAGAACAAAGCTATTCAAACCCTGAATAGAGAGTTTAGAAGAATGGATTAGTAAATGATACAGATGAAGAGAATGAAGGACTTACCGAGAATCAAAAAATCGATTTTTTGATTTGATGGGAATTGATGAAATGGGTGGTGACAGGTCAACAGTAATAGATTAATTGATCGATTGAGAAGTGCCCGAGGCTTGATTTGACTCGGACCGACCTAAAACAAGACAGAAACAGCTCAGAATAGGTTTCAAGAAGTGGTCAGAAGAAAGGGATGATAAAGACCAAAAATCGAACTTACATTAGGTTTGATTAGGTTTGAAGGACTGGAGTATAAAAGGGAGTGTTGGAGTGATTGAATGTGAGGGGTGTGTCTTATCGTATCGTATTGTATCGAGTGTTTTCGAGAGTTCCTTCTTTTCTTTTTGACCGTTATCGAGTTGGAACTCCTACAGCCGATTCAAGAAAGGTTGCAATTTTTTTTGAAGAAAAATCGCCGCCGCAGCAGCTAATACCTGGGCAAAGGGGCAAAAACCAAGTCAAAAGACTTTTCAATATGATCATGGATCTTTTGATTTGCATGGATCTTTCGACAAATCAAAAGATCCCAGATCTCCATCTTGCTTTCATCAAAGCCACCTTGCAATGTAGGGACCCAAACAATTCAAGCGCCACCAGATCCTATATACCAGCTCTGACCGATGTTCAGAAAGGGTTCCTACAAGGCTACCCTTGAGATTCCCTCCGGCCAGCTACCCTCAATTCTTTCTTCCTCTAGGATTTCAATTTCCAATAGTTCTACAACCAGTATCACAATCTTTCTTTTCACTAAAATTCTCATCCTATCAAATCAAAATCCTCATATCTTTCTCTATACAAGTCATGTCTACAGAAGTCAATAATATGCAAGGGTGGATGAATGGTAGTGAGTGTTTTATCTTTGCTCTGGCTCATTAGTTGTACTGATTTCCCCATCTCTCAGTCTTTGAAGACCCCCCTGTCTTACGAAATGGACATGATGCGCCAGCTCGTCAGGCTGGCGATAACTTGCTGGAACGTCCGGGAACTGCAGGCCGTGCTCGATTTGACCTAGCGCATGAAGTGACTGTACGGATCGCTTTCAAGATCAGTTTTGAGGAAACCAAAGAGCAGCCATGTGTCCGTATAGGGGGGACAAAGAAGGCTCCGAAAAAGACGATCAAGACAGTCGATTCCCGACACTTTCACAATGGATCGGGACGTTCCATCAAGACCTGCTTATTTGGCAAGAGCTTAAATGACTTCAAGGCTCTGTGTGGTGACGCAGTCAATGAAATCAAGACTGGAATGAAAGAAGTGGTACTGAACGGTCACCTCGCCCAAGGCTTGATATGGAAGGCAACCATTGGCAAGAAAAAACTACCCCTCGATTCGTTTGAGGATTGGCAGGAGTTTGTGCTTTGCCTCGATCGCTCGAAATCACGCACTGGCAAATTAGATATCTGTAGCCCAAACGAAGCCCAAAAAAAGAAACAAGTTGATAATGTGAGCCGATATTTTCACTCACCTATCAAAACTATATTCATACTAAATTTCCTCACAACTGATCCAGGATGAGGCGGCCGATGGGCTTATTGCA